TTTTTAAGATTTATTTATTCATACAGAACTGGGGTACAGGCCAGAGATGTGGAGGGTGAGAGGATTCACCAGAGACAGAGTGAGTGGGGAGCAGAACAGGCAGATAATCAAAGTACACTGCTGTGGGGAGCAGTGGGCGGGTCAGGAGCGGTCTGCCTCGCCATGTGGATCTCCTCCGGAGCAGGTGGGGATAGAACTCATGCGGACATGGCTTAAGTTCTTAGTGCTGTGCTTTAACCCGCTGTACCACCAGGGAGGGCCCCAATTATTTTAACTTATAATTGCCATATTTAGTATGGCAGAATTCACTTGAACTCTGGTCAGTCTATCCTTTCTTAAATAACTAATTATTGAGCACCAACCATATGCTAGATACTGTATGGATGCAGTAGTGAGAGTAACAGAAAAAAAAAAGTCTCCACCCTCACTGGGTCCATAATAGGGAAGGCAGAAGATGAACAATTAATAAATACACAACTACAGGTAACAAAGAGTCCTTTCATAAAGGACAGTGATGACTTCCAAGAATTTCTTGCCTAAATAAGGGACTCCCAAGATGGAAGTAGCAAAGCAGGGCTGCTATGAGGGCCTTCACATCCCAATAAACACATACCCATGTGGTAAGTTTAAAAACCTATCTACCTGATGCTTATCTGTTTACCTATTCACCTGCCTTCCCACTGGAGACCTAGCTATGTTTTATATGGGTTTTAAGGATCTAGGGCATTAGTCAAAAAGTTCTAGAAAATAGCCAAAACAAAAAATCTGTGAATAGTCAAAATAACACACAATTAATACTTGAAAGCATTAAGTACAGGACAGTCTTTTGGTAGTAAGTCAAAAGCTACTTTCTTTTTAGTTACAGTTCTGATTAATTTTTTTATTTGATTTCCCATCCGTAGCTAAATATAGAAGAAAAGTAACTTACAGCCAAAATTTAGGGGCTTTTGAAAGCAAGTGAAGTCTGGAAATATTAACTGGTAAGCAACATGGAATTACTGAGAATTCTCAAAGGGAGAACAGTAAGATCAAAACAATGAATAAAAAATAATTTTATAAGATATTTGTATACCCATGTTCATAACATCATTATTCACAAGTTATAAAAGTTCAAGGAATCGGGGTTCTTCTGGTGGCACAACGGGATAAAGCACCACTTTATGAAGCTCTCCAAAGCCACTGCAGCACGAGTTCGATCCCTGGCCAGGGAGCTGACCTACACGGCGTGGCAGCGTGGCAGACCTCTCCTGTCTCACCCACTGCTCCCTGCAGCAGTGTATTTCAGTACATCTGCCTGTTCTGCTTCCCACTCTGTCTCTGGTGAATCCTCTCACCTACAACACCTCTGGCCTGTATCCTGGTTCTCTAAGTATAAATAAATAAATCTTAAAAAAAAAAATTCAAGGAATCTGTCAATAACCATTGATAGATGAATAGATAAACAAAATGTAGCTAATTCATACAATGGAATATTATCCATGTTAAAATGGAAGGAAATTCTGACACATGCTGCAGCATGGATGAGCCTTAAGGATATTATAATATGTGAAATAAGCCATTCAAAAAGGCCAAATATTGTATGATCCTACTTATGAAGTATAGTACACTCAGAAACAGAAAGTAAAATGATGTCTGTCAGCAATTGAGAGGAACAGAAGATGCGGAAGTGTTTTTAATGGATACAGAGTTCAGTTTTGCAAGATGAAAAAACTGTGGAGATTTGTTATAGAAAATATAAACATAGTTTCAATCAATTCAGCTGTATCATAAAAATGGGTAAAATAGTAATTTTTATGTTATGTGCATTTTGCACAATTAAAAGGAATTTTTAAATACGTATATTTTAAAACAATCTTATGTGAGATGGATTACAGTAGACAGAAAAACAGTCTGAGAGATTTAATTAGAACCAAGAAGGATCTGACTTCTCAGAGTTCATCAATAGGACAGACTTCTAGACTGGAGGAGCTCTTCCACCATAAAAACACACCAAAAGTAGAAGAGATCTTAAATAAATAGCTCAACATCCTTATTGATCTTTATCTAGTTTCCCATGTTCTTTTTTAAATTTTTTTAAAAAGATTTATTTATTTATTTATGCTTACAGAACTGGGGTACATGCCAAAGGTGCAGGGGTAATGAAAGGATTCACCAGAGACAGAGTGGGAAGCAAAACAGGCAGACTGATGAAGTACTGCTGAGGGGAGCAGTGGGTTGGTCAGGAGAGGTCTGCCGAGCCATGTTGTGGTTCAGCTCCCTGGCCAGGGATCGAACTCATGCTGCAGTAGTTTCAGAGAGCCTCATAATGCAGTGCGCCACTAGGGAGGGCCCTAATGTTTTTTATTATGCAGTTCCTGCTTTTCAAGGCTCTTAAACATCTATTAGCTAAAAAATTCTATTCTCTAGATGAAAAATAGTTCTGTATTTGTTATGAGAAGATTTAAAACATTATATTACATTATATAACAATAAATACTGCACCACAGGGTAGAGTGATCTGTTATAATCCTTTTGAGAACAGATTATGACTGTTCAGAGAAACTGCTCAAATAGTCATTAAAGTACCTTATTTTAGAGA